CCACTTGATGTAAGTTAAATGAACAGTTATTATTGCTTCTCTGTAATAGATATTTTATGACCTACATTTTTTTGACACAGAGCTGTTGACAAGGTAACCTCCAATTTTTTTTTCTTGCAGTGCTTTCCTGTAAAGAACAACATGATGTCTCATATAGGAAGGAAAAAAAAATACCAACAAAACAACGAGCACACATCTGACCACCTCTGCCTTGTCAAGCACAAACAATTAAGCGAAAAGTGGAGTAGCATCTCTGATCCTTGACACCGCACAAGTCTTTGCCATCACAGAGACCTGTCAAAACATTAGATGCAGACTCGCTCCCCCCCGCTCACGACTGTTGACACTCTGTACACTCTTTTGCTGCCTAACTAGATAAAGTTTGGCTTGGATGGTTTGAGAAAATCCACTTCTTCAAAGCTTAGAACAACCTTGACAGGCTCAGATTCATCTCTCTTTTTTCTCTTGCTTTTGTGTGTAGGAGAAGGATGATTTTGAACTTTATTGTGAACAAACCTGGCGTTTCATTGACACATTGACTGAAAGGTGGGATTTCAAGAGATTTGTTTATTTGAAGATGCCAGATCGGGCTAACAGGAGGCTGAGATGTTATGATACAATTATAATTAAAATTATAATGAAGTAGGCTACTTTAAGGTGTTAGTTAACAAATCAAAATAAGTGTATTGCTTTAAGGCAAGACAAAAGATCATTAAAACATAATTATTTAAATTGTACTATACAGAAAAACTTTAATGCAAAGGGGCCGCGAACCTTTTACAACACTCTAAAAATGCTGGGTTGTTTTAACCCAACTTTGGGTCAAATATGGACAAACCCAAACATTGGGTTAAAATGTAATTAAAAAATGTAACCCAATGGCTGGGCTATTTGGCCCAAAGTTGGGTTAAAACAACCCAGCAATTTTTGGAGTGAATAACAAAGGCGTAGATTGATGACGCAGTTAATAAGTGGAATTATGGAACTTGTCGTCATGATGATTGGTCTAATAATGTTTATGGATGAGTGAATACATTGATATTTTTGTGTGGTCATTTGAGTGTGTTGAAAGTTCTAATGTTATTCTACATGTTAGTTAGTTTGTCTGTATGAGACTAGCAGTGAACTAGATCAACATTAGAATAACATACTGATCATACTCTAACATTGCATCATGTTGAGCTATATTACATTGATTTGTTTTATGTACATTTGCTCACCTGTCTAATAAAGTAAAGTCAAGTCATCCTCATTTAGTATATAGCGCTTTTTAAAAATGTAGATTGTTTCAAAGCAGCTTTATAGAGATAAACTTAATATAATTTAAGGTAACACACATTGGTTTGGTTTTATAGCTGTTCTTGAATAATATTATTTTCCAGTTAAAGTTAGTTGTGATTGATTCACTTCCAGTGAATTGATAATTTGTTATTAAAATTAGGGGCCGGTAAGATGACAACGTTCTCTCTAAACACATGCATTAATAGTAAAGTAATGCAAGGGCGGCGTCTCTGTCAAGTCGAGTTTGTAGATTTGACCATATAGATCATAAATCCATCTTTTTTGTCATGATTTTTTTTTTTTTTATTAAAATAGCATTCACATAGAAAATTCAGATAGCAAACTAAAGATGTATATTTATAGCATAAAGCAAAAACATGTTTTTACCAGACTCCATAGACCAAAATGTATAAGCAACTTGAACGTTACCATTTTTTGTAACAGTAGACGTAACATTCCTGTAATTTAAGCAGATTAAACAGGGTTCTCAAGTCTCACGCATTGGGCGTGAGACACGCATTTCGACCGGTTCACACGCTCACACGCCACACTGTGTATTTCTCACGCTGAAAAGGCAATGCCAACCAAGTTGTCCTGGCTGAAAGCTTTCTAACGTTGTATACGAGGCGCAGGCAAACAAAGTGAAGTTTCCTGCCGCCAGCGCGTATCTCCGCCAGATTGCGTTCGTTACTAGGCAACATATATGCGCGCTGCGTGCACTACTGATCTATACAATGACATGTCATTCAGTAGCGCGAACACACGGAAATGGACGGAACATCCTCGGCCACCGTACGTTCGTTACTAGGTAACCAACAACATCGCGCGAACACATGTGTCGTGATGGAGAAGTAGGTAAGTTGGAAGAAGCTCGTCTAACATTTTTGGGCTAGAACATTTAATATATAGCCCATCGTACATTATTATTGATGCAGTCAAAAACTCTACAACTACTTTGCAACCAGGCTCAGTTTGGCTATCTTACGTTATCTGAAACTAAGAGAAATGTTAGTGGGTATGGAAAGGAATGAAGATTTACTCATTTTATTTTAAATTATATTATACTGTAATATTAATAGTCTTTCTAGTTACATTAAGGATGTATTACAGCAGATTGCTCTGGGTAATATTTAATCATTGTCATAATGTTGCATTTGTATTTTTCAAAGATGTCAGGAAAAAAGCAGAAAATATTTTGTCATTTTGGGCACCAAGGGGTAAGCCCCCTAAAAAGGTTGCCAGATCAGAGGAGGAGACAGTGGAAGAGGTGGTGCACTCTAATCTGTCCATTTGTTCTCAATGTCCCACCACACAATAAATCATTCGTCTAGATAGAAGACGCATTCAAAAATCAAAATGCAATTTTTAAAGATTTGTTTGAAACTGTTTGGAGCAATTTGTTATATTTTTGGTTAGCTATATTTGTAATACTGCATTAAAGAGTATATTTGATGTGATGAATTGCTCTGTCATTTATCAGATTTACTAATTGTTATCATTTTAATTTGTTCCGGTTAATTATGAACAATGGGTAAAATTGGGGGCGGGGATGGGTGGGGCGGGGCTTCATTATGGCTTCTCCCCTAACCGCGTGTGATCTCACTCCAAGCTTTTGCTCAAACTTGAGAACCCTGGATTAAAGAAGCTCATGCTGCAAGATCTTATATAATTGTATTCAGTAACGTGATGTGAAGTCTGCCAATATGTCCTTTGCTTTCAAAACTGAAGGCTAGAACCTTTATTGATTAGGGCTTTGTGCTGCACTCTCTGAAAACTCTCTGAAAAAATCAAAGCTCAAAACTTTAAGATCTATTTTAGCAATAACAATAATACTTGAGTCATGTACATTTGTGCATGTTCATTTAATTTTTATTTGCATGCTAAGGGATCTGACACAACAATAGTTAAACTAGTGTTTAGGATGTATTAATGCATCACAAATCACAGATATGTGTAGTTAGGCACTGCTAATTGCAAGTCAGGTCACAATACACATTGTTTCAAAGCAGCTTTACGGAGATAATAGGAAAATAATGCAACAAAGTTTGTTTCCAGAAGAAAATAGCGTCACAGTCCAGCCTAATTAGGGATGTTTCATTTTTGTTGTAAAATGTTATTAATTTAGTTAGAAAAAAAAACGTGAGGAAAAAAAAAACGTGGAGAAAACCGTGATGTCATCGCCCAGCTCAGCTCAGTTCTTATATAATGGTGTCAATGCAGGAGAGATCAATATTATTGTTGAAAATTAAATTAATTGTAAATTTCATGTAAATAAAGTGTCAACAATCTTTTGCAATGTTGACCTTTATTCAACAATACTAACTCTTCAAACCAACAATTCTGCCCTGCATGCGGTCATGACAAATCATTTCAATTCAAGTCACACATTTTATATTTAATGTATAGTGCTTTTCAAAATAAATATTGTTTCAAAGCAGCTTTACAGAAAATGCATGTCTACATTACAATTTAGAGTGATCTATTTAATTTAAGGCAGAAACAATGAGCTCATCGAAGTAATGAATACATGTTTTGTACCATTTGTAAGTAGTAAGTAGTTTTGGGTGATTATTTAAAGGGATACTTCAGAATTTAGCATTAGGCTTTTTATTAGTAGGATACCACCCTCATATCCCCCTGAGATGAGTCCGTCCCGCATGTTCTCAACCCGCCCATAGAGGGCGGTCTCACTCACAGAATGAACACATAGTGTCGGCCATCTTTTTTTGGAAGCTAAGCTAGCAGGCTCTTGTTCTGTGGAGAAAGCTGAGTAGTCGGGGTTACCATCCTCTTTTTCCCGGGCATGTCCGTCCGTCGATGTCCGGGATTCAGCTTTCGCTTTCTGCAGTCGCCATTCATTGTTTATATGTTCACCTTTTGTTTCAATCTAACTGAATTCATTCCGATTGAATCTGAATGTAGTGTTTACATGAACGCTAAACAAGTGATCGGTTGATGTGCGTTCTAACATTGCTAAGAAAATTCCCGCTCCTCCGTGAGAGATACGAGACCGGTGCGTCTCACAGGTGTCGCTCATCGGTAATCACGCCACCGGCCTCGCGCCGTTCTCCCGCGGCCCTCACTCGTCCTGCTCACCATATAACATAATGAATGCCGACTGTAGAACGCAAAAGCCGAATCCCGGACATTTTGGGCGAACTCGAAACACGTTTTTGGGCAGACTCATCACGGAGACTCACTAGTAGCCTAGACTTGCTGTTTAACTACCGCGCTCTGTTACCGGTAGGCGTGGCCTCCTAGGTCAGCGAAGCAAGTGCATTCTGGGAGTTGTTGTCTTTCATCCACAAAAGCCACAAATACATTTTCTGGCTTTTCTCAGTCTAGAAAGCTCCAAATTCAAAAATAATTTCACATTTCTTCTACATAAATGACCCATTTTAAATACACATCCATCTTTCCAGAGGTGAAGTATCCCTTTAATAAGAGGAACTTTAGACAGATATTAATGACAATTAATAAAGCCACAGTTTGATCACAATGTGATATTTTGAATCTAAATTGACATTTCAAACTGTCACTCTGCTGTTTGTTTTTATTTATTTACTTATGGAGGAAATTGGTTTGTTTGGGTAACACTACAACAAGGTTCCCTTTATTAACATTAGTTCACTTCATTAGTTAACATAGACCCAACAATATAAATTATTCTAAAGCATTTATCAATCGTAGTTAATGTTAATAAAGCTTAATAAAAAAAGTCATTAATACATTATTACAACTGAACATTTTGCATCCAGTGGCGTAGCATGGGATTTTGCGGTTCATTGCAGTTCTTTCCAGCAGCCCACTCCCCCCTCAAGCTCTTATATTTAACGCACTAATCCAAAATGCACATTGGTTCACACCTCAAAGGGTCTGATCTCCATCCGGCACAGCTTGGCGTCAGTAGATGTGTTAGTGAGTGCAGGACTGGCACCGCTCTTGGCCGTGGGGGTTGCACGCTGGACAGCGCAGCTCTCTGATTGACTCATTGAAGCGGTTGGCCAGCATGGACAGTTTGCTTCCGTGACAGAGGGAGCACGGCGCACAACCTGAACCTCCACACTGTCCACATGAGCCCGATTCCTGCTGCACAAACAAAACATGTAAACGAACTGCAAACAAAATAATAAAGCCAAGTGCACACTACATTACAAGCTTGCAGCTTGTTGCTCTTTCATGTTTTAAAGCTATAGTTTACACAAATATGTATATTTTGTGCATCAATTTCTAATGTGCATGTAATTTCTTCTTCTGCAAAAAACACAAACAATAGCATTTTTATTGAGACCTTTTTCAAAATACCTTTTTTTTTAAGTCACACAGGTTTGTAAAGAATTGTTCATTTTGTGTGAACTATGAAGCCTTGTGAAAAAGCCTTGTGCTTAATTGTAGTTAATGTGCACTTTTAGTTTAAAGCAATATTTGCAAATAAAAGACAATTATTTTTCACTTTATATCGATAGTCCACTTTGGACATACTAACTGTAAGTAACTTTGCAACTACGTACATGTCAGTTAACTTTCATTAGAGTATTAGTAGACTGTTAGGTTATGGTTGCATAAGACCCTTGCATACTGAGTCAGAAATTCGCATCTAAAATTTTTGCACGTTAAAAAATAAATAAAACCTCACGTTATGTCAATCACGCTTGCACACTGCCTCCGAAACTTTCGTCTTACATTAAAATAAACGTTATCGGGTTTTTTCCAACCCGATCACACTGAATGCGTCTCTATAGCACGCAGGGTGTTTTTCATGCAATTTATACGCAAAAATTAGTGTTAAAAACAAATACACTTTTGTTTTACACAATAGCATCGAACTGACTAGCTACTACATACACAAACAGTGCTGGCATTGGTTTACGTTCTTGATCAAATCGAAAATAATGTCATAAAGTATATATGCATGAAAAATACATTTATAAAATTAGTACATAAACAAATTCAGGTCCATAATGTTAGTACGCGTTTGTCGTAGACACGAAATAGCATATAGTGGCTATAAAGCCAGCGCTGGCATTTGATAAAAGTAAAACATTAGGACTGAAGTTACACATGCAAATACATGTAAAATGATGAAGTCTTAGCCTAAAGAACAAGTTGTGGTCCAACAACTGCTGCCTCTGGTTTTAAAGTTGGAACTGCATCATGTTTTAGTAACAGTTTTTTGTTGAATCCGGTGTTGAATTCGTGGAGATTCTGGAAGCTGTCTTTGTAAAAAATGCGCAGCTCAGAGAGCTAAATTACGATCGTCATTTTCAGGAACATAATCAAACATAAATTGTATCCATTGTTGAGGAACTACAGCGTCCGTGGGAAGCCCGAACACAGAAGACCTGACAGCTGGTGAACACAACACACTCGACGAGCCGCAGAAATATGCGCATGCCCTTTTTTGCATATTCCAGAGGGAGGGGTTGATGTAAATGTATGGGTTAGTGACGTCTAAAACCACTGGTGTAAAGTACTCTAATACTCTCGTTATTTTTTTTTAAGGAATTGTACTTTTTTAAGTAGTTTAAAAACAATGTACTTTTACTTTTACTTGAGTACATTTTAAGTGCTGTATCGGTACTTTTACTGCGCTATTTTCCCTGAACCTGCCGTCGCTACATTTATATTAAAGGGTTAGTTCACCCAAAAATGAAAATTAAGTCATTAATTACTCACCCCCATGCTGTACCAACCCCGTAAGACCTTCGTTCGTCTTCGGAACACAAATAAAGATATTTTTGATTAAATTTGAGAGCTGTATAACTACCACATTGGCTCCTAAAGGACTGCCTCTTGACGGCCCAGAAAGTCAATGAAGAAAATGTTTAAATATCCCAAGTGACTACCGTGGCTCAACTATATGTTTATCAAGCGACGCGAATACTTTTTGTGCGAAAAAACAAACAAAAATAACGAGTTTATTCGACTATTTCTTTTCTTCCTTGTAGGCCAGAACGAGACTTCCTTAGATTTCCATGACGCATGCGCGAGAATTGCGATCTGAAGTGGTGTAAGCTGATGTGAGCAGATCGCAAATCTCGCGCATGCGTCGTGGAAATCTAAGGAAGTCTCGTTCTGGCCTACAAGGAAGAAAAGAAATAGTCGAATAAACTCGTTATTTTTGTTTGTTTTTTCGCACAAAAAGTATTCGCGTCGCTTGATAAACATATAGTTGAGCCACGGTAGTCACTTGGGATATTTAAACATTTTCTTCATTGACTTTCTGGGCCGTCAAGAGGCAGTCCTTTAGGAGCCAATGTGGTAGTTATACAGCTCTCAAATTTAATCAAAAATATCTTCATTTGTGTTCCGAAGACGAACGAAGGTCTTACGGGGTTGGTACAGCATGGGGGTGAGTAATTAATGACTTAATTTTCATTTTTGGGTGAACTAACCCTTTAATATTTATTTATTTTATAAGTCATGTGACTCCATGCGTGATTCCCGTCAAATCAAATCGCGCGCGGAAAACTTGCATTCAAACCAGCATCAACAGACTTCGAGACACCTGGCGCCAATTTATTTTAATCATGGAGGAAGAGCCGGAGGGAGGAAGAGTGGTGGTGGATTCGTCAGCATGTGACAGCTCAAATTCAGCACTTCAACATCCTTGGCCATACCTGAAAGAGCTGTTTCAAGTGAAGACGAAGAAGGGCAATTGTATCATTATGTCATGCCAACTTTGCTTGCCTAAGTCAGTTGAAATCTCGGCGTTCAAGAGTTCTACGTCCAATTTGAAAAAAAAAACACATTGAGGTAAGTTTCGAATATCTGTTGTTAAGTATAATTTTGTATAATAAAATTCATCATATAATACGCAATTTTGCTCATGTTTGTATGGTATTATCATGAGTGTGAATGTTTGACAACCAAAAAAAAAAAAAGCACTGTAATGATCGACACAGATCGAATAAATTTTACCGGACAATAACGTATGATGTTTTGATGACGCGATCACAGCAACCAAGACAGCAACCAGTCTAGAGTAAAGGCACGCACGCTTTATAATTGTTGCTGGTTACTGTATGATGACTGAAATCATGAACTTGCCTAAACAATTACTAAAAATAAACTGCAGAATGTTATATTTTCTAATACACGCACAAATGGTATGCACTGCACGAGCTTGCGATGCCATGCATACGGAAAAACTTTAATTCAGTTTGTTCACTGGGCTTCCAAGTTCATAAGGCATTAAACTGTCATCACTGCTAGATTTTTTTGTCCCTTACATCAATTTCGTTTAGCATATAAACGCATTAACCTCTTTTCTGTTTACTTATTGAAGTGGATATTCTTTTAATGTAACATTTTCTCCAATGGTGATTTACTCCCTTTCATAAAACATCAGATTTATGTTTAAATCAAGTTTTTTTTTTCTTTTATTTGCACGCAAAAATGAAAATTGTGAGTTACTCAATTCTGAAGTGTATTCTTTTTACAGAGAAAACATCCAATGAAATTAAAGCAGTACAATGAATGCATCTTGAAAAGAAAGAACTCCGAAGAACAGAGGTGGGATTCAGCTGTGAAACAGATGAAGATTAAAGACTTCCCAGGTTACTCTGTCCAAAGTTGACAGGCTTGTTGTTGATTTTGTCTGTGAAAGCCTTTAGCCCTTTACCGTTGTCGAACTTCCTACATTCAAAAATCTAATCTGTACAATGCAACCTAGCTGTACTGTTATGTCCAGACCAACTGTGAAGCTTAGAATTGAGGAAGCAGCCGCAAAGATAAAGAAAAACATCATTGCTGAGATGGCAAAAGTCAACTATAAAGGTACCACTACTGACTGTTGGACCGCACGACAACGCAGTTAGGGGTAACAGCACACTGGATTGATGAACCTAGTCTGGAAAGAAGAGTGTATGGTGAACAGAGTCAGGAAGAGTTAATTGATGCTGAGGCTGATTGTGCTGAGGCAGTGACACTGGATGATGAGAATGATGCAGAAGGATTTGAAGTTCAGGACACCTGTTCCATTTTAAAGGGGAAATGAAGCGGTGAATCAAGTTTACATGATTTACAAGATGGATTTCCAATATAATCAACAATTATATAAGAAACATTACAAATGTAAACATTTAGAAGAAAAAAAGAAAAAAACTTTGTATCTTTCGCCGCCAGGGCGCCGCCATTGTGCAGGTGACGTCACGGGGTTGGTTGGCTCAAGTTTAACAGGCTCTGGGCAATGAAAACCACGACATCAAACTGTGCCCAGATAGCAAACTGAAATTGAATCAACGTGGAAATATGACATAGAAACAACGTTGATCTGACATTGTTTTGCTCATCGAATTAACGTTGAACCAACGTCAGACGCGTCATTCTTTCAAAACTAACGGAAAATCAACTTGAAATCAACGCGTTGTTTCAACGTTATGAAAGCAAACCAATTTTCGATTTTCATTTAGCTTTGAAGAATGCCGCGTCTGACGTTGGTTCAACGTTAATTCGATGAGCAAAATCAACGTTGTTTCAATGTCATGAGAGAGACGTCGTTTCCACGTTGATTCAATGTCAGTTTGCTGTCTGGGGTGTTTATACCAGTGTTTTGACCGCAAACGACTAATGTTAGGTACAGATATTCGACAAAAAGACGACGTCTCATGTTATATGTTGACAAACTGCACATAGAAACATTGTTCGCGATGTCTGCCGTCAGATATTCCCGTCTCGTCAATAACATGTAAGTTACGTTGCTGTGTAGAACAGTCAGTGGTGGTTTGGGGCGGAGAGCGGGTTTGCAACGCTAACTTACCAGGTGTCAGTGTGGCTGTTGTCCTGCGATGCCCTCCGTGTCAGAGTCCATCTGTTGTCAAGAGGTTGATCTTGAGCATGTGTTGCGTGGTCAATTCTGCATCACCGGCGCGCACGTTTACCATGCTGTGTCGGGAGTTAGACGTGTGGAAGCGGCGATGCTTTCCCTGAAGGATGTCAGAGCGGAGACACCTTTTCCTAGTATATGTAGGCTGCCGCTGTAGCTAACGTTACTAGCACTACCAGTGCGAAAATATGGACGTTTCATTTCCCCTTTAACAAATACGTGCTAACTAACATGTTATTGACGAGACGGGAATATCTGACGG